TGCTTTGGTGACATGTTTATTGGTAACACATAGCACATACAGCATGACTACAATCATTACGACTACAAGCATAAACATACGAGGCTAAACTACTGGCATATTCGTGTCAAATGCGAGTCAAATTGTGTCTTGTGTTCTTCTTCAGGCGATAGCGGGTCCGCAGTGTCTTGTGTCTCGTCTCTTGTGTTGGCACATCGTGTTCGTTCTCATTTCTGTGTGCTCGTAGTGTTCGGGTACTGCTGTGGAAGTGTGGAGCTGCGAAAGCAGCGAAACTGCAAGGAGAAACTGTGAAGAACTGCGAAGAGAAAGGAACTGACTGCGAAGAAGGAACTGACCGAACTGCCTGGCGGCACTCAGCGCGCTACCTTTATAGCCCTGATTATGGGCGGTATAAATACTGGCTGAGGTGGGCGGTGCCAAGGCCTCCTATTGGTTGGTTGTAGGCGGTGAGCGAGCTTTCTAGAAAGTGTGCATTTGCGACCCGTGCATCCTAGTCATCATGACCAAGGGTCATGACACGGTGATCCAGTCCCGCTCACGCTGGGTGAGCTTAAAAACTCTCAGCGGTAGTATGCCTTCGTCGGGGTGGGCAGGCAAGAAATTTCGGACGAATGAGCACAAGAGCTTCCTCGCTGCCTTGGATACTGGAAATTCCGAGAATCGAATTGCGCACGAAACGTTGCGACGGACGTGTGCGGCGACGATCTCATCCTGCTCTACACTCGAGAGAGGGAAGTCGCAGGTGATACGGAGACGGCTTCCGGCGCTCCTTCAAAAGCAACTTTCAAGCTTCGTACGGCGTCATAGCGGACGACGAGGGACATCACGATGCCGAAAGACCGTTGGGTAGTAGCCGAGGTGTGATGAAGACGAACTCGCGAACTTGGTAGAAATACGGGAAGCGGTTGTCCAATGCCGGCCTTTGGGGATCCGAGCTTGCTGCAGAGTGCGGGGTGGGTTGGGGAGAGCGGCGTTCGTCGGCTCGACCGAATAAACCCACACGAAATCTTTCACAGAGAGCAAAGTGCGATCGAATCCTCTGGTGTTGCTCTCGATGTTAGTGGCGTACTGGTCCAGAATAATGAGATGAAGCTCATGACGGTCAGGGCCAGGTATAAAAAAGTCTTTGGCTCCGAGTACGGCGCCCTGACCGTGGCCCTTGGTGACGACTTGGTAGAAATCGGAAATCTGGGGCCTGGTCGCGGAACGATCACAGAAGGCATGGCGCCCTCTGGGGTGGGCGGCAAGGTGTTCTCCTGGACGACGAATTGAATGGCAAGGAGAAGATCAATGACGGTCTGAGAGTCTTCTCGAAAGGCGACGGAAGTTCCAGGCGCATCAGTTCGAAGAAGGAGATGCGACGAGTCGGGCTCGGCTCCTCCTTGAAAAAGTGGGGGAAGAGTCGGCGAACGTACTTGCCGGCAAGGTACCCGCCAGGTGGAATGTGCGAGTAAAGGTCCAGCGGCACCGCGCTGGTTACGACTGCCGGATCCGATGGGATCGGATTACTGTTGAGTGTCACGTACTGCGCCCACGGGTGACGATGAATGAGATGGTGAGCATGATCGGGCGGGGCGTCTCATTAAAGGGAGCATCGGGTTAGCCGCCACCGTAGCCTGTCGGCATGTCGGGCAATTGAAAACGCGAATGGCGGCAGTAGGAAGGACTGCGGCCATGCTGCTCGTCCGGACTGCTCGTGGTCTTGCCGGCGACGAAGCTCAAAGGAGAAATGAGATGAATGTTGGGGTAGCAGGATAGTGCCTTAAGTAACACTGTCTTGTATTCACCACAGGCTCCCCAGAACTTCAATAGAGGAGAAAACTCCCGCGTGAAGGCGGAGAATCTGGTGGCACGGAATCACTCGACGCATGAAGGGAGCGGGTTCGCATTTAGGTTCGCACTAACAACGTAGAATGTTGTATGTGTAGTATGATACTGCGATGGAGGATACTGGGTGGAATAACCGGACCAACATTGAAGAACGCCTACCATACAAACAATAACATGTAATGAAACGCAAGAAGCTTTATTTCTTTCAAATGTTTGAGAGCGGCGGGTGCGTGCTTGAATAAATGGATAACGTTATTCAATATATGTTTGAGAGCGCGATGGAGCATACGTAACTATATCGAACCTCCTATGATCCATCCAGACCAACGCTGAAGATGCGCGACCTGCCAGGCACTTTCTCTCTCGGCTGCTGTCATTCACCTTGAGGAAAACGAGCAGCGCCGGTCATCACGTCGCGTCGATTGAGATCATACAGCTAAACTAAGTATGTGACCAACGTGCTTGAATGTGTATAAGCAGGATAAAGCAAGTAATAAATTAAATCATGTCTTAACGTAAATTAAAACTAACGAGTCATTTCTTCTTTTCAAAGGTAAACGCCAAGGTACTTGTTCGCGTCCACGTTAATTAAGCGCACGATTTGATTTATCTTAGGGTCACTCACATTCTAATTCGTCAAACCGCAATTCCAAATTCACTGTAAGACTCTTCAACGAAGTGAAGATGATTCCGCAAACTAAACGACGTGGACGTCCTCATAATCAACTTCAGTCATGATCAAATACTCTAGTTAAAGACCCATCAGGACCCGGGGCATCTTCTAAGTCGAAAGTTCACATGCGTCGGACGCTACCTTTCCCGAACTATTTCTGAAATTTTCAACAAAAGCGCGCATCTCTCATCTCAATAAATACAGGAAAGAACATGAACAAAGAGAAGTGGGTATGAGAAGGGCGACCTGGCTCACTATTTAGGAAGAAGAAAAGCTGTCTTGAACAAAGAATGCATGAGCCATGCTCTTCGGGTTGAGAAAACCGAGCATGAATTCGAACTGTCATGTGATACTAGCGTAACGCGTAAACAAAAAGGCAGAAGAAGGACAAATTCTATGGGGAAAACAAAATCAGCGGAGTCATCCCACCTTTAAACATCGCATGTCGAAGATCGATTTGATCTACGCTAGTTATCGTTACGTCGAACTCAGACGCGGCATTTTCTAACCCACTTCAATGTAAAAAAGGAAAAAAAACACAAGCACAAGCAACTGAAGCGTAACTACTATCTAGCGAAAGCATGAAGAAAACTGCCGGATTGAAGTTCTATGTCCCCCCTAATGTATTATCCCAAGCAAATGAGGTGATCAGGCTCATTTTCTCGAGAAGGCCCAACAGGGCCAGAAAAAGGGGACTCACCTGCTCCTCGGTCGAGACTCGCTGCTACCAGTGATAGGTGCGAGCTTGCCGCTCGCGAACCCCGAAGTATTCAGTACAGCCCATCAGTGTATCATATTTATTAGCTCAATAAGGCAATCAGATGGAATCGGGAATTCGTCGCAGTCGAAGTAGATGACAGACCAATGATGACGGAGTTGAGTTGACAGCGCGGCAAGGAATCAGGCGAGCCCAGAGGTGACGTCGGAGCAGGCAGCGGTCGTCCTGGTTGGCATCTCGGCAGATCTCTCGTTGGCGTTCAGCGCGAACCTTAAGTATTGTCGGTGAGATGAGTCATGCGCAACGCACTCTGACCTTCTCCTCTCTCTCTCTCTCTCTCTCTCTCTCTCTTCTCTCTCTCTCTCGCTAGTTTCACGCAAACCGTCGGCAACCAGAAGGAGACCCGAAGTGAGAAGGATGCCGTATAAAGGTAGGAGGGCTCTCCCAATGGTGAGCGACACCCTCTCTTACAGTATGTTAGATCAGCTGATAAATTGTAGCTAGTTTCCGCGCGCATTCACATCGTTTCACATGCGGTGTAGATGTTTGGGCAATCTGGCTCGTGTCCTGATTCTTCGTCAACTAGCCACAGTCCAGGTGCTTGTCAATCAGCCCCATTCTCGCATACATGGGGAAATCCCTTTTCCGCGCAGAGACGGCAGCGATACATGGGCACGACTGTAGCAGGACGATGTACACCACAAAAAGTTCTATTGACTGTTTCGATAATTCAATAAAATTCGTAGAAATGCAGGCAGTTCGAACAAGAATCAGTTGAGATCTTTCCAAGAGGCTAATGCCGCTTTTTTTTGAAAAACTTAAAAAAAAATAAAGCTTCCTAAGGCACTTTGGGATGCGACACGCACTGCACGTCCCTTTAGAAAGCTTCATTTGTTAGGATCGTGGTGGCTTACTCAATCCGATGACTTGCGGGACTAACCCCTGTGCTAGCCAGCGTTTTTATCCTCCCAGGCAAGTCTGGTTTGATTTGCCCTAATGAAAGAAGGATTAGGACGGGGTGGGACATTATTCACGGATTTTGACCCCCCGCTCGAGTGCATAGTAGCGGGCCACCTGGGCCACTTGCCATTGCATTACCTCTGACTCTTAATACCTGTCCCATTACAAGGTCTTATAATATTCAGGTGCTTCAAACGGCTCTTTCTGCGCTGTTCTACCACTTCGTCACATCGATCCATGATCCCAATCCTACAGTAGCTCAACGAGCCATAATTGCTCTCAGAGCACTACCAAGCAGCAAGCTGAGGTGAAGATTCGAGCCTTCGATAGAAAACCCTACTGAGTCTGAAAAAGCTTAGCGGAACCGTGTTAAGGAAGGTGATCAGTTTTCGGCACTATTCAAGCATTACTACCACAAAAACTCGAACAATTTTTACGTGTAAGTTGCTCAAATAAAAGTTATTAGATGTCTTGATCACGAGTGTGATATTCGTTTCTGACGCCGGCGCCATTTGGCGGTGCAGACTTGCATACTGGGCTTATTCGATACCCTGATCACGAACATGACATTCATTTTTCGCACCCGGCGGCCATATGGGCCATTAGCCCGCAGTTTTGGCGCGCGCAACCTCTTTACATAAGATCGTAAAACCTTGCCGTAGTCGTTTGATGCCCTGATCACGTGTATGGCATTCAATTTTTGACACCAGCGCCATTTAGTGCTCTTCTAAGGCTGAGCCTGAGAAAAGGGGTGATTCCCTTTCAGGTAAGGCTCAGCCTTTGCAGAGCGCAGATGATCTTAGTGTCTTCCATTAATCAATCTCCCACCAACAATGAATGTGATATTTGTAACCAGGATGTCAACTAACCCCCATGTGCAAGTTTTCACGGATTTGGTGACTTATGGTATTTTGGCACCGATGCCTGCAGCGCTGGAGCCAGGCGAATAGTATGATCGTTTTCACAGGTCAAATTGAACGCACGGTTGTCTGTGGTTCAGTTTTCAGCAGCTTTGGCAATCTAGGGTTTCTTGGCGCAGGCGCCAGGCAACTTCAGGCCAAGCGGATGCAATTTCTGTGTTCAGGAGGTATGTTGTGTTGTATTACCCTTTGAACCGAATTCTTAGGCCGAGTCTGCCTCGCGTTTAGAAAAAAGTGCGATCAAATCTGGTCTGTTTGCGGGAAAAGTTTGGGTAGTAATAATTGAATAGCTGGCCCAAACTTCTGCCCTAGTTTTTCCCACACTATGGAATTAGGTTGATGGCAACGTTGACCTTGTCACTTTCAATGATGTGCTTTTGCTTTGAGTCCATTTGACTGCTTCATTATGGATCGTACGTCATCATTGTCAATACGATACGGCTGCTCACCACTCAACTCCCCGACGAGAACATGCTCACCTTCGACTTTTTTATACAGGTCTTATTATGGCTTTCATATTTAATGAATGACCTTTAGAATCTCCGCACAGTCGAAAGTTTCAGAGATTTGAAACGTTGGTCCTCGAGAGCCAGTTGGTTAGCCAAAGCGAAGATACCATGTTCGTGCAAGGTACGATATTCATTCATGCTGACATGTCATGCACTCCTTATCTTTGAGACGGAGTAGGCTTTTAAGCATGGCATATGTAATAGGTCAACTCGTAGGACTTCAATTTGGACACAGTGCTATCTGTTCTGTGTTAGATGTGGACATGAATTACGATGTTACAAATTTGAAAAAATTTCAGCGGGAACCTGGACAAAATCAAATAACGCAGCTCACGGCTGCAGCGATCTCATGGATTTAGAGTCGAAGACATTGCTCCCATATCAGTGCATTTTGTTTCCGAATACTCTCCCGAGTTTAGAAACTTCCTGTCCTTCTAAAATCTTGGCGGGCTGCTATCGTGTGCTAAATATTTTTCTCTGAGCGCCTAAGGAAGGTTGCTGGATAGAACTTTTATTCGATAGCCTGACGTCTTGTCCAGATCGCAGTTTATAGGCATATGCTCAAGTCAAAAATTGAGGGCAACGCCCACGATCACCTATAATTAAGTGAACTCTTCATCTGGACGGGTATTGTGAACAACAGCGAGCAACCCTGTATAAAGTGCTAAAGTAGCGGAGATGAGGCACAAAATTGCTCAAGTGACTCCGCCCGGGTTGATAGATGTCCTTATCTAGATTCTTCTTTACATGCTCTCTCGCTCTTTCTCTGGCCTTTTCCGATATACAATGGCTTGATTGCTTGTCTTTCGCGTGGCACGAGAGGGGCCTTACTTGGAGCCCTATGGACGTTTCCTTTTTTTTCGCTTTCAAGCGAGCGCGTCAACTAGCGACTCAATTTGTTTCTGAACCACGTTGCGTACGTTTTACGGCTCTTCGCGAAATCTGCCTTTAAGTGTTACTATCTTATTTTCTAAGCGTACCCCTCTGCTTCGGCGGAGAGTTAAAGACAATTTCCGCGACCAAGTAGGTGCTCAATCATGAACACTATCCCATAAATAACTCCCCAGAAAGAAGTTGAAAAAAACCTCGCGAACACCCTGAACACCTCTCAGCAGTGGGGCCGGAGCCTTGAATGAGTTCATCATGAGAACAAGCCCAATCAGCAGGATTCTGCGTGCAACCACTTCCCGGTAGGAGCACATGAAATCGCCCTACAACGCTCCAGACAACGGCGACGCGTGCAAGTCCGCCTGTAAGCCGTGGTCTTGCAGAGTGAAAGTAACCGTGTTTGCAATGGTTGCAATAATCACGCATCTCTAGTCTCTTTGTGTCGCTATTTCGAGTGACGAAAGTGGTACACTCATTGCGAATGCAGACAACGATGCCAAATACACGGATGCATTTCGCGGACCACTTGATCGCGGAAACTGACGTTGAGCTGAACAACCGTATTTCATCTCAGGGAAATATCTCCCTCATCATTGATTCTCTTTTGCGTAATTGAACCTTCAATTCAGATTGATGGCAAGTACGGATCCAATGAGTGAGACTGCTCACCAGGGCAAGTGCACAAGCCAGAAGGTGAGTCAAATCAGCAGTGAATGGAGGAAGGGTTCATCGGATTGCTCATCAGTGACGGGTACCACGGGTGAGGTCCTCCATGGCTGCATAAAAAATTGCTCTAAACCTTATCTACGCCACGTACAATAAATAAAAAACTTCTAGGACACCAGACTTTTCTTGCGCAAACGCTTTCTACTGGATGAGCCCTAGTCAGGGCACGCCATCGCGTAGTGATAGAATCGTGCAAAGTACGACCCCTACCCATCCTACCTACCACTTTCCTAGATTTCCCCATCTTCCTACCACTTTTTCCAGTTTTTTTTCCAGCATTTACCAGAATATTTCTAGTTTTCCCCAAAATTTTGGTGTCGAGCAACGGAGGGGAGAGGGGTTATGAAAACCAGTGAAAGAGGAAGAAGCACAAAAAGTCAACAACCGGGAAAAAATCTTCCGCTACGGCCGAAAATTCCGTTTCAAAACAAATACGAGCCCCTGCCCTTCATAGCGCGCCGTGAAAACAAGAGAAATCATCTTTCAAAAAATTTCTTAGACCAAATGCGACCGCTCCCCCGCGGTCAAATCGGATCCCGTGTGATTATACAACGATGGCGTGCCCTGCCCTAGTTCTTCTATAAAGGCACAGCGACTGAAACATCCGATTTTATCAACAAAAGTTGACCTCTGACAAGGTGACTTGTATGCCGTTTATTGAGTCTGAAACTGATCTGGCAAAAGTTTACTCCTGTGTCTTCATCGATTACCATTACATTCAGAATCGAAGAGGCAAGTATAGCCAAATCAATCGTCAGATATCTACGAGAATATAATGCCCTAAAACATCAACTTTGTTATCAACCCAGCGAGCCTCCCGGTACGTTCGCTTTATTTCTTGCCTACAGTATCCAAATCCACCGTAATCCTTTGGCGATTTTGGCAGCTCTAAAACGGACGATCTTGTTTCAGCTTCAGTGTGCTATTTTTCATTGTGCTATTTTTTACTGACACGAAGGATTTCTTAACTAATAAGTTCATAATTTATATTTTCTTCTTACTTAGCTGCAACGCATGGATAGGCAACGGTGACTTGTCACTGCAGAGCATTTGTCGACTATCAGAGCAGAGAAAGTCGTCACATACGATTTCTTTCTGTTAAGCTGGTTGTATTCAAATGAGTTAACTCTAACTGAGTGCAACGTCCGTGTGTTCAAAAGTGGAACGGGTCGTCAAGGGGGATGTCCGGCATCCTGCTGGTGATTGGTCCTGCAGCGGAAATGTACCTGCATGACAAAACCATCAAGTAGTCCCGTTGTACTATATCATCTATCTTCTTTTTTAAGATGCTTTAAACATCCCATTTACGGGCGCGAGAGTAGTGATAACGCACTGAGCGCCGCGAAAACGTCTTCTCTAAAACGCGAGCCGACCTCAATAAGCACCCCACTGGTCGTCTGAGCCTACCGCAGTCCTTCAAGCAACAATGGAGCTTCCATGCCACGCCACACGTTGGATTCGCCGGGCTAGGAAGGCCGAAGGTCACTGGCAAAGAGAGGGCGTCACTGGAGCATTTTTGCGCCTCAGCACCCTACCTTCCAACATTCCGCAGCCGTACTGGTACAAGATTGTCTACTACGGGCTAGTCCGCTTTCCCACACAATCTTTTACACTTTCATAAGTCGGTCGCGGACTCCTTGGAGTCACAAGCCCCTGACGCTTCTACAACTACTTATTACTTCTAAGTGGAATACTCAGATACACTAAGTCTGAAGTGGAGGTGGTGTAGTGACTGTAATACGCTTACCACGTGCACGCGGTGAGTTGCATCTCCGTATCACCTCCCGCTCAGTCCATCCAAGCCTTCTACCCTTCGGGTGCGGTAAATTAGTCCCAGAATTGTCCGACGGGATAGGGGCACTGTCTTGTGCATCGGCTGTCCTCGCAATTCATTGTACAGGTCAGGTCGCATTTACTAAGCCACTACTATTTGGAATGGAAGTATAATGGGTGTCCGTCCCAGAAACTTTGATCAACGGCAGTTCCTTCATCCTTCATCCTTTTTATACCATTTTCACTCCAAATCGGACACTTTTCAAACCAAATCGGACACACCCCTTACAATGGGCAGTTGATAACTAGACCACACTAGGTACTGCTGCAAGCCCCGCCCAACATCCCGCCCATTTTTCAATGAAGTTACGCAAGTTTTTATTTTATAACTTTTTTCGACGTCCTTCTTTTCACATTCAATCTTCACAAAAGGAATATACTCATAGCCGTGTATTTGTACACCAGCACAGAAAGCCCCGCCCCTGACCACGCCCACTTTTGTGTTTTTCGCGGAATTTTATTTTTCTTCCAAATTTTCGCTTTTTTAGGCTGTAACAAGTGGCTCCGCCCACTAGTAGGAAGCTCCGCCCACTTTGTAGAAGCCCCGCCCACTCTTGAAAAATGATGCAAACCCCACAAAAGACTGGAGTCGTACTGGCAGGTTATAACCTCTCCCGTCACACAAAGCAGAAAAAAATAAGAACTTTGTTCTTGATGACTGGTGTGGTACCTAGTGTGGTCTAGTTATCAACTTCCCATTGTAAGAGGTGCGTCCAGATTTGATTTGAAAAGTGTCCGATTTGATTTGAAAAGTGTCCGATTTAAAGTGAAAATGGTACACATTCATTGTGCAGCTACCAAGTAGTCGCGGAATGTGGCTCTAATTCCACTCCTGCGCGCTTATGCGATCTAAGGCGAGTTTCTACCGCAGTTCGTTGATTAGTGTGCCCCTACATAAGTTGTACATGACTTTCCTGTGCAGGCTAATCACCGGCAAGGGTGATAGGTCACTTTCCCTTGTCGGCTCTTATCCACAGCAGCTTTCGTAGATCTTATCAGTGTGTATTTCAAATCTGATTGTTATTCCCTCAGCTTTGTGCTTGACGCGAGTGCCGCGTTGGCGCAGACGTGGTCGGCTCTCCGAGGCCGCGCTCAGCTGTCGTGTGAAGATACTACGAGTCGTGACGATGGTAAAAGTGGTGAATCGCTGGCGCCAAATGGCCGCCGACATCACCGTTGGCGCCGCATCGCTCGTCTCCTTCATAGCCGCTTCAGCGCCACGTCGTATGTCATGGAGAATAAGCATGGTTCTTCTGCGGAGGCGGAGCTGATCAGCTCTCTATGGTCGCGACCTGTGATTGGCTATGGCCAACTCCGCCCCCGCAGATGCATGTTTATTGCTTGTTGCATGAACTCAACACTGCATGTTTCAAACTCACTCATTAGCAACTTCTCCATACTTTTTAGCTTTTTCCTCATTCAGTCAACCTTTTTGTAATGTTTATTTTTTGAATGTTTCTGTCGATCACTTTGCCTCGAACCCATTGGTGAGCAGCGACCATTCAGCGCTGACGGCACTGTACTGCTCGTGTCATCAGCGATCTTCTCTAGCCGTTCACCAGTGGAGGTTTTCAGTGTCAGTAGAATGTTGTTTCTGATTCTTTGCTTGCAGCAGATTCGGATACGCTGTCTCCTTCGGTCACTTCGCCATCCTATTCTGCCGGTATGAAAGCTTCTCAACTTCAAAACATTTTCTATTCTTTCGTTCTTCTACGGTAATATCGGTGTACCTTCTCTGCGTGAACCTATCGCATTTTTTCTGAAGAAAAGCAAGTGGTAGAGAGTTCTCGTAGAAAACCCCTTCTGAGTACTTTCCTCCTACAACTTCTCCACGTGTTCTTTGTAGTACGTGCCTTTCCTACTTCTAATAATTATCAGGGTGAAGCCAAAATCGCCTCTGATCCATTTTCGAGACTGGAGGATAGCCTGGAGTCAGTGGGTGCTTACATGACGTAGGACAGTTTCTGGTACTTACCCTTCATGAATAACCGACATCACTACATATTTATCTTCCCTTTCATTATTCCGCTACTGTCACTGACCGTCAGAGAGTGTCATCAGAACTACATGAACTAGCTGCTTTTTTAGGGTATATGACAAGAGAATCGTAATATGCCGCGCTGGTTGGTGTAGCGAGCGCGCCACGTCCGACAGACTAATTATCCTGACTGGCCGATCGAATACAAAATGCAAGCTCACCTGCGAGGTGCATAATTGGTATGGGCAGGGCTAAGAGGCCTCCAGTTGTCGAAGCGTGATGGTTTCTTCGCTCGAACATGCAGGGAGATAGAGAACCAGGACCGTGAGATAGGCTATTTACTTCATACATCGCCTGAAAAGCTAAAGCAGACACTCTGCACACCGCTACCATATCCCGGTCACATCTGTACCGACCGTAAGACTAAATTTGATGAGCAATTATGTGAATGTAAATAAATGAAAGTAAATGTGAATCCGTCTAAATTTTGGCAACTCGACGCCATTCGCGGATGAGAGCTTTGAATTAGCGAAAGGAGAACATCTTTTAAAGGCACAGTTCGCGACCGCAAATTGCGGGAAACGGAACTCAAATAGGCACAAAAAAGTGCTAAGTATCTGATTAGCGGAGAAAAGCAGCAGAAAAAGCAGTCCGAAATGTTATAGAGAAAGATAACATAGTGGCTACTAGCTAGTAGCTAGCAGCCGGTGAGGGTCGGCATGGGCCTAAGGGGTGTCCATGGGCCTAATTAGTCAGCTTCTAGCTGAGTTCTTGTCGTACTTCACATCTTGAAAGTAGCGCAGCCTCAAAAATCGCCTTCCGGACCGTCCGACACATTTGAGAGGTCATAGCCTTATTTTTTCGCGGAATGTGCCTTTAAGTCACGTTTGGAATGCTCTGCTTTCTAGGAGGCTGCAGCAGTATAGTTGAATTCTAACCGTCGTCATCATCTGATTCAGAGATTGCAGCATGAGCCTCAGGTGTTGTCCGCATCAGGAGCTTGCGGTCTAATCGTATTCGAGAGCGCAAAGTAAGAGAATCGGCAAATTGCCAGAAGGGCCGCGCGCGACACTCGTTATGCGGACCAAACCGCGTTATGCGAACCCGGTCGCTACAGGAGTCCGGAATATGGTAGCGGCGTGCAACGCGTATGCGGAGGGAGTTGCTCCTTAGGCGGAGTGTGGAGGAACTAGCCCATCCAAGGGACCTGGATCTCACGTTCTGGCGGGGAAACTTCTGCGCTTCGACAGCTGGAGGCCTAATAGCCCCTCACATCCCAAGATGCACCTCGCAGGTCAGTGTGCCTCTAGTCATTGAATATGAGCTCGACGGAAGTATTCACCCGTTATGTAATCTTTGAGACGAATCTGCATGAATTCGTATGAGTTTCGCCAATCTAAATGGAAACTCATGCACATCTAGAACTTGCCGCGCGGCCGCACGATAGGAGGCGCGCAACAAATTACGATTGTCTTGTCCATCTCCCAAGCTTATATCATACTACCTCGAGAAATTATGGGAAAATTCCTTTCGAATTTAGCGTGGAGAAGGAAACAAAAGTAATTTACCTTCCACTGTACCGACAGGAATCGTAAAATAGAGGGGGTGCATTTGAGCTACGCAAATAGCGGGTGGTTATCGATAGAGCCTAAATGAATCCCAGATGCCACTTCTTGCCGTCGAAACGGTGTAAAATCTATAAACTTACGAACTGCAAAGAACTAGAATCAACAAATCCGGGAATCCAAGAACCCAGAAACCAAATGCTGCATTACGTCTATTCCGTTCGTTTGTATGTTGAAGGCCCATATGGTCGGTTACGAGAATTCACCGATGAGGAGAGCAATCTTTGCCTCCTTTTCAACCGTGTTGTGGACATGGAAAATCCGGAACGACATACGGTATACCTCGTGATCTCGCTCTTCGTTTCATTTTTGAGGTAAGCAAATATCGAAGGCACAGTTCTCGCTAATGATATGAGCCAGTGAGACCTCCGATCTTCCTTCGTCATTAGTGCGACCCTCATTTCCAAGATCGTAAGGAGAAGGAGCGCGCCAATGAAGAGGACGGTGTGTCTTGCTCCGCCCATACAGCCAGTGTGAACTGTCCTCCTGAGATTGCTTCAACTATGAGTGCCTAAAATTCCTTAATTATTCAGTAATAAGAACTCGACGCCAACTGACGAGAAAGCGAACGCCAAAAAGCAATCGTTGCTCTTCCGCCACTTCAATACATTGCTCGGTTTTAGCAACACTGAAAAATGCTTCACGATTCCGCCTGCAAGATTACGGTAGGCCAAGCAAGCGATTACGGTGTAAAAAAGGAATTGAGAAAGTGAACGCTTCAGGAAGTCAGTCGTCTGCAATGCTTTCTTGTGCGGTCTTCCCGAGATCCTTGACTGTAACCTAGTTATTGGTAATTTCCTTTATGATGTTATTTTCATAGCTTCCTTCCTGATAGCCTTTTTCGTACTGTCCACTGAAGATAGACCAATATTTTGTTACGCAGGTAATCAGTTGCTGCCCACTGTGGTCCAACTGCTGCTTCATTTACCTTCACCTCAAAAGTTGGCAAGTGATCAGCATCAAAACAACTACTCATTGAAGTTGCTATCGCAACACTCTCGTCATCTTTGGCTGAACTCACTTATTCTCATACTTTACAAGGTTTGGTTGTTTGCTCCTCATTATGGTTCTTAATGAATAAGGAACATATTTCCAGTAATTTTCATTTATTTATCAATTTATCTATTTGATAAGACGGGATGTGGTGTAGTGACAAATGACGCACTCACCACCCGAGCGGTCCTGGGTTCTAATCCCGGGTCGACGTCCGCCGAGGCCTTTTTCCTCCGGGGACGGTAAATTGGTACCAGATTCGTCTGGGAGGATAAGAACACTGACTTGTACATCGGCTGGCCCCCGCAAGTCATTGTATAGGCCACATCGCATTCAATAAGCCACTACGATTCTGAATGGAAGTAGAATGCGTGCCGCATCCCACAAAGGGATGATTAAGGGCGAAGACTTTATCCTTTATCATCTATTTGATGCGCGAGTAACGTCTTGTTCGCTGCGGATGCTGGGGCGTGTCAGAGTGGGCGGGTTTCGCGTAACGCTAGCCCGTCAGGGGGCTGAGTTCGGCGCGTTGGCCAATTCCGCTCTCACGAATATGTCTATCGCTGTCCCGTTAGATCAGGCAAATTGATGGAGAGTGGGCGGCAACCGCCCACACTCTGTCCCTGACCGCCCTCAACAGGCGCATCGAACAGAACTGTAAGTTGGTGTTACGAGTTCGGAATACTATAAACACTATTACGCATTAGCAGAACACACGTTACAGTTACAGTAGGCTCCTCACTTAATGTAGTGGAAAGACGTCCATATTTGTCACCAGTTTATCGATATCTTCCCTTAAGATACGTTCCGGCAGCCTGACCATTCACCTTTAATCATCGATCCAATATTCGTATTCCATGCTACTTTGTGGCTAAATTCACTATTAGATCGATTTCAGTATCGTTTCGATCAAGTACCAATAAGCGACGGCATAATGCGACTGATCAACATCGTTTCTAGAACTCTACAAGGTTTGCACATTGGAAATAAAGAAGCTGTCTAGGGAAGGCTGTCTGTCTGTTTTCATCTGCAGCGCAGGCGCATGTCTGCTCTGAAACTGATCAGCCGACTGACATCGCCACATGGGACGACATCAGTGAGGAGGAGTCTGAGTCACCGAAAGGCATGATCAGACCTGAGAGCCTTACTGTTACAACGATACAGGTAGAGCAGTTTCTACTATTTTTCACTTGACAGTTCATTAATATCGTTTTGAAGGAGAACGAAGGAGAAATCACTTTGCATCCGACGATTGTCGAACGGCACGCCGCATTGCGAAAAACGCCAGTGAAACGCGGTACGAAAGGAAGGAGCCACGAAAACAACGAAACCGTGACACCAAAGTTGTCTGAATAATTGCAGTGACTATACATGTTGGTCAAGAAGTGGTCGGACGTCCCTTTCAGGGTGATCGTGGAGGGAGTCGGTTGGGACTTTCGTCGTTCCTCAGCTTGAAGGCTCTCCTTCTGTTGCCGTGGTGAGTAGAGCGGTTAGCCGCACGAAAGGCGCTAATGGTGCAAACTGACAGCGCAAAGCTATTTGACACTCATCATCGTGGCAAGGTGCCTGTGATGGAAAAGGCATAACCTTATGTCCTTACGTCCCTGAATCCTTGCGCCCAGTATTTTACTGAAGTTTGAATGTCCGAGAACTGTCCTCAGCCCAAAAATACTCATATGGCCTAATCGAGATTGACAGGTGTTTCATTACTGCAATACTAGATTTGACTCACTGGATTTTGAATTTCTCCTTCCGAATTATTATGTAGCTGATTGATATATCAAATATGATGTGTGGCATATCTGCGAAATCACTCCTCTACACTCGCCTCCAAGCGTGGTCCTTGCTGTGCCGAGGCGAATTGGTCTACAGCTGCAGTTGAGTGCCACTTTCTCCCCTTGAAAGTGCATGGGAATGGGGCTATAGGGTCGGGAACTCGGGTGCCTTCTCCATACTGCGCCCGCAAGGTCCTCAAGATTCGGCACCTGCGTCATTGCTAAGGACTGCAAAGAAACTCGTACTCAGTGGAAGAGAACCCAGGAGTGAGAGGGTACAGACAAGTTGCACGTTCATGGGTATTCGCCTAGCTGTCCGTGCCGCGGCGCGAGGCGAAGTATACAGTGGGGGAGGCGCGGCATTAGAAAAAACACTTTGGCTGAGTTACATATCAGTAAAATTTACGCAGCCCAGATTGAGGACGAGTACCAGGGCGGGAGACCCCTATAGAGTCGTCACCAAGGTAACACCACCCTCCATCCCGGCTCCGTGCATTTTTGAGCGGAAAAAGTGTATGCCACTGCAGCTGCGGAACCATTTTCCCCTTACATGGCAAGGACCAGGATCCACGGAGGTGTGTACAGTTTGCCTTCAAGTTTGAACGCGCTCACCCTAGATGTGAAGTACTAGAAGTGTGAAGAGAAGTGAGCCATCGATCAAAGACTCATCTACACTAGCCATCCCTCCCTGGCTCGAAGCAGGTGATCGTATGTGCCGCAATCACTGGTCCTTCAGGGAGCAGCCATTTTTGCTCAGCACAAGGCTATATGCCGGCAAAAGGCTTGTAGTTATATGGGTTTGGTATTTTTTTCAAACTACCTGATTAATCGAATGAGGCGGAGGTGGTGTAGGGGCAAGTGACACGCTCACCACTCGCGCGGGGTTCAAATCCCGGTCGACTCCCGCCTAGGCCAACCGGCCTTCTACACCTCCGGGGACGGTGAATTGGTACCAGATTCGTCTGGGGGAAAAGAACACTGACTTTTAAATCGATTAGTCTCCGCAAGTCATTATATTTGCCACAACGCAATTAATAAGTCACTGCGATTCT